GAAATGAGTGCCATATTCGTAATGAGCATCCCCAAATACCTCGAAAAGGATACCCATATAGCATATTTTGAAAAATCGTGTCCGCCATCTTGGATTTACAAATAAGTGCTATATTCGTTTTTCATCGACAAAACCGAGCACATCTGTAGGCACCTGATCGACAATGTCTGGTAAATCTGTAGGCACCTTTAACTTAATGATGAGTTAAGCAAGATACAATTTCCCCACTTTTGAGGGAAATGTTATTCCATGGCATCATTATTTGTATATTTGTGTGCGTGCCGACGAGCGTAGTTACAAGTTGCTTACGCCTACATGAATTTGGTTTTTGCCTCACTTGTGACAGTTCGTTTGATATGAAACTATCATTCTATGCGTTATTATTCTAAGCTTATACGTATCGAATTGTTAGGTTTTCGCAATTGTTACACATAGAAAATGAAACTATTTTTTTTTCGTGTTTAAATCACGTACATTTGTTTTATCAAACTAACCAACGTTTCGGGCCATTATAGATCCCGCGGTCCCGGCCGACTCATTCAGTTCGAAAAAATTGTTTCATTTCCTACGTACTTATCTATACGACCTAGGTAAAACTGTCCAGGTTCCAATGAACGTGTTCAGTGTTATTAATCAAAAGTTGAAATCTTTTTTAACATTTACATTATATCGAATGCTCAACCACAGTAAATTTAACTTTGCTCGCCATTCGCGTATATCTTTTTAACCGACTTAAAAAAGGGGGTTCTCAATTCGACTGTTTTTTTGTGTATTTGTGTATGTTACGCGATTACTCCCGTATTTGTGAACCGATTTTGATGATTCTTTATTTGTTGGAATGAAGGTAACTCTGTATTGGTCCCATTTAAATTTTTCAAGAAAATATTCCACCTCTGCGTAACTGCCTCTGTGGTCGAATGGTTACCATGCCGGACTGCCACGCAGAGGTCCCAGGTTCGATTCGCGGGCCGGGAGAAATATTTGTATCGCCTACGTTTAAATAGCTCGTGAGTTTGGATGTAATTTCTCGTTGCCTATGTGTGTGTCCATGGCACCCGCCACACAGGTTTTTTCTAGTGCGGGGCTATGTTGAGTGTGTGCGTTATTATTATTGTTATACCGCTAAGGGTGGTGAACTATGATGCAGAGTCAACTAGGGGTTGAATCCGGTTTCGCGCACTTTCCGGTAACCGATCGTAAACTTTTTACTTTCAGTTTGTATGTATACATATAGGCAAAGTTTAATTTTTTTTAATAAATATTATAGTTATTGATTTAGTTGTATTGGCTTTGTGGTGTCCTGCAGTGTAAGCGCCATCACGGCCACCAGGAATACAAAGCAAGAATTAACGAATCGATTTCTGCTCCATTTGATTTTCGCATTCGGCTGAACGAAACTACATATCAATTAATTTGATATAGTCATCATTGTTAGGTCAGTTTTCAATATGGAAATGTGTTTTAGTACAAATTATATATGTTGGTTGGACATGGGCTTAAATATTTATGTTATTCCGGTATTTAAATGAAGCAATATAAGTAAGTAATTGAATTATAATTTACTATACTCAAATCAAAAGCAAATTAGGCTTCTTACCAAATACTCGTTGTCGTTAAGAGTAAGGCGTATTTTAATCAGTTGTGATTTAAAAAGAATAAAAGATTTAAATTAATAAATAATTGTTTACTTAAAGCTTTTTACGAATAAATTAAACAAAAATTGTTAAAATAAAAAAGTGCAAAATAAATATCGTAAAGATAAAAAGTTTTGCGTTTCATCGCTATCATAGTCCATCAGAGTAGCCCAGGTCCGTTGTCTAACTTTTTTGACTCAGTAGCGATAGCCGCCCGGATTGTAGGCGCCGTCACCGCTAAAAAAAATAAAAATGTTTATTAATGTGACACGGAATACTTGCTCACTGTGAAGAACTGCCAAGAAACGCTGGTATCCTGGAAATATGGCCACAGCTTGTCGCTGTTTTTGAATATTTTAGTATCTAGTTTAATAGTGAAAAAAACCAATTAATTTCGCTTTATTCAAAATAAGAAATTATTGAAGTCGTGGTAGTGGTTTGACTTTTTGGCGAAATTTAATATGAAATTTATCATGTGCTTTTCGGTGAAGGAAAACATCGTGATGAAACCTGCACGTCGAAGAAGGTTCACAAGGACTATGGCCTAAACCCTCGCCTGAGAGGAGACCCGTGCCCAGCAGTGGGACATACAAATGGGTTGATAATGGTGACGATGATTATTCAACTATAAAGATGTTTAATTTTTGACATACTTACGCTGAAGGGTTTTGCCTGTTAAATTGAAGGGATCTTAAGATAGCCTCAGGAATCGGAGGAGGTGTGGGAATATGGGAGCCCGTCGGGTGAAAACCGTTTTCATCAGCGGTGTAGGTGAGGGAAACCTGTTGACCGTCAGGCGTGCGGAAGGAGTATCCACCTTCAGCTGTTACTGCAAGACCTTCGGGACCGGCGGCACGAGGAGAACCGCTCTCGTGGACTGAGATCCCATTGCCCGTTTCATAGCTACAACAACAATATCGAAGGTATATTAACGTGGGTACCTAGTGGCGTGCTAACTCACGCGGTGCTTTTGGAACTAATATAAAAACACGCCCCAATGTCAGATCACAAATACGTAAAAGTATTTTTTGAAATTAATATGTCTAACTTAGTAGCAGTAGAGCTCCCTGTGAAAGCGTTAGTCCAGGGAAGTTCAGCCACCTTACCTATTTTTGTCGCCATGCAGTCTGTGACCATTACTGCGTTTCGGTTTTGAAGGGTAAGAGCGTTTGGCCACTAAAACCGATTCGTATGAGTTCCGAATCCGAGAAATGACGGTCCGAAATGTCACAGGTGTCCGAAGTGTCATTTTATCTTAAGGTGTACAAGCGATATTCGTATTTTCTCGGATTGGAATCGGACTTAGGGTCGTATTCTAGAACGCTATTCAATGCTCAGGTCATGATTGCACTGGCAACACAAGCACTGGAAATACGACTCTAATGGCAGGGACTTGAGTATGTTTTCGAGTGCTTTAAACCATACTCAAATCCGGACTTGAGCGTTTAGTAGAGTTCTAGAATATGACCCTTAGTGCACAAGCGACATTCGAAGTGGGTCCGAGTTTTCTAGATTTGAACGAATACAAGCCGGATGTAGTGCGCCAGCGTGCTAATGGTGCTGATGAAATTACAGGCACCTGGGACTTGTCTACTTATGTTCCAGGGCAAGTACTACCGTTCTAAAGGGCACGGTAGTAGTTTGCTTTAACTCTCTGAGCGGCACTATAACTGTTATGGACAAGCTTGTCGCTTATTTTCCATCAGGTGAGATGGAGGTCGTATGCACATTTACATTTAAATTAAATAAAAAACCATCTGGCGCACGATTTGTTCCTCCCGTCATTTGATATCATAAAAAACTCAAAAGATCCTATTTTTTAGTTATCAACCACGATTGTTGTTAATGTTGTTTTGTTGGTAGATAGTGTTTGGTAAAAACACTGACATACTCTGGTAATTTATGATACCTGTATCTGTAATTCCCATCGCCGTTGTTAACATTTTCGTATCTCAGGATAGGTATGTGCGCCCCACCACTGTATCCGCCGCTATTGTAAGCGCCACTGTTGTAACCACCATTGTATCCTGCGTTGAAGTTTCCGCTGGCGGATACCATAGCGAGTAAAGCTAGGGCTGATACGATCTGATAAACAACATGATTAAATTATTAAAAATGTTACATATAATAAGAAAAGAAGGCGGCATGACAGAATGAATTGTCACCAAAGTATTAGAGGGTGAATCAGAGGGTGGTCCTGGCGGTAATAAGCAACCACAATTAAAATATATCGACATTTCGCTTAAGAAAGAGTATAAACATCAAACCACATAGATTACAAGACGCATGAAAACTATCTAATTTTTAAAAGTTTTAGTTAATTTATTTTTATTTTTGTGACTATTTACGTAAAAAAAACATTTTTGGCGAATAACAAAATTTTGAGTAGAAGAGCTTGAAAATTGAACCCGAATACATAAACAAAACTTTTATAATAAAATTGAGACTTTTACGCCCCTTCATCCCCATACTTAGTATCGATATATTTTGTTATCAAAACAGATACATATAGTGTATTTTCTACCTTTAAGGACACCATATTGAAATTGTATTAAAAAAATTTAAGAACTGATTAACAAGTGGTTCTGAACAACACTGATCACAGAATGATCTGCACTAGTTTCGGGATCTTTTTATATTGAATCTATGCCATTGTTGCCTTGAACACGTCAAATATTGTAGGTACAGATGAAAGAACATTCCACTTAAGTCGGCTTAATAATGCGCGTGGAACACCCAAAAGTTCGTAGGTCAGGTACTACGCCCTATATTCGCATCTTACAGCAAGGTCATCGAAAGGTTTTTAGACTGTAAAAGTGAAATTACACCAGTACATCAGAATCATACAACAATGACAAGTGGCGAACCTCACTCGGAGACACTAAAGTTACTGTTACGAGGATAGTAATTTTTACTAGTTGGTTGATGTCTTTGTTTTTTTTTATGATACTATGTGACGGGACGAAGAAGTTGTGTGTCGGTTGGTAAGCGACACGCTTGTCCATAACAGTTGCAGTGTCACGAGCTTTTAATCACAAAGATCTGAAGGGTACTGCCACTGTGCCCGTCACCCTGAGATATTAGTTGACAAGTCCCATGTGAATGTAATTTTACCATATATATTTGCCGTTGTAATCTATAAAAAAGTCTACTTATTTTCATACATTTTCCACTAGCTTTCGCTCTCAGTTGTTCAGGCAGTTCTGCAGTTTTCGGGGCGTAGATGTGTCATTAGGCCGATGTACGCACATTACTACTTCTGGTCCCCGATTGCCTCTCCAGTATCATGTGGCTACACATTTTTATTTTAGTTCCTCGAATGCCTGCGGAATAGAACTCCCTGAGTAAAGTCAAGTCAAAGTCAAATAATCATTCATTCATAGGTAAAATTTTTAAGCTACTGCTCGTTCACTGCTCGCTGACCTGAGAAGAACGAACAAGAAACTCTAGGGATTGCCTTTTCAATGGAATACACTTTGAATCATAACTGTGTGGAATCTAGCCTCATGTTGTTCCATACATACGTTATCTAACACATAGTCTTCAATTTTTAACCGACTTCAAAAAAGGAGGAGGTTCTCAATTAGACTCTATGTTCTTTTTTATGTATGTTACGCGATAACTCCGGTATTTGTGAACCGATTTTCATGATTATTTTTTGTTGGAAAGGGGGTAGTTCCATAGTGGTCCCATTACATTTTGAAGAAAATCATCCACCACTAAGGGTGACCGTTCACGCATGAAGATTCATTTTTATAAATAGCGCCTAAACTTTAATTTAGGAGCAATTATTTTAATGGTTGATTTTGCTATTGCTCCAATTTAAGGCGTTTTTCTCTCAATATACTTTGAGTAGTAAGAATCGATTTTTATTATATCTAGTGTCAAGTCCTGTATAGTGGCGAACTAGGGGATATTTCAATAAAACTTAGCAAATAGCAAACTAAAACTTAGCAAATTCTACGTACTTTTGGGGTCGGTTTTATTAGTACTCTGTACTGAGATTATGTAATATGACTTTTCAATTAAAATACTTTTAATGTAAGTTTTAAACTTAGGAAATGAAAATCTTAATATATTCAGTTCCTCATGAAAGAATCATTTGCCTTAGTTAATCGAAATCGTGGTACCTGCTGGTAAGGATTTAGGTCTCAGTTTCACACGTCATGAAAAAGAACAGGCATGTATTGTGTGTAACAAATTTTGCTTTAGATTCAACGGAATATATAAATATATAGGTAAAGTTATATATTAAGTTCGTATCATCCGATAGCCCATACAGCTATAGGATAATACGAACTACTTCCTAAAGTACTGTAAATATGAGTGTAGTTTCATATCGAAGTCCAAGTATTTTCATTTTATAATATCAAGTGACGGGACGAACAAGATCGTGCGTCTGGTGGTAAGCTACACGCCTCTCCATAACAGTTGCAGTGCCACTTAGAACTTTAAATCGCAAAGATCTAAGGGGCGCCTCCACTGTGCCCGTCACCCTGAGACATTGACAAGTCCTATGTGCCAGTAATTTCACCAGCACCCTTACCCTTCAAAACCGGAATACAGTAATGCTGACATTACTGCTTGGCGGCAGAAATAGGTAAGGTCTTTCACAAGGCGCTCTACTGCTACTAAGCTCTACTACTAATTGTTACTTTTGTGTAGACATTCTATAAAATTTTTATATTATTCTACGTGAAAGTGAAACTATCAGGTTACAAAACATAGGTGAAACATAACATACCTAAATCGAAGATTATTGTTATTACACTATTTAACTGAAAAATGAATATAATAATAACAAGGTCATTTACTATAATGAACAATTTGTTACTATTAAAAAAGGCTAGAAATGTGGTCCTGTTGAAAACGTATCAAAATTTCATTTGATTATAGGTTGTCTTATGAATTGCAAGTCACACAAATCGTTTGATTAAATAAATTGAATGCTTAAAAAGTTACCCTTTGATTGCGGTTACAGTATAACGAATATAGTACAACGAATCTTCATGCGTGAACAGCCACCCTTAGACGTGAACGATTTTCTTCAAAATTAAATGGAACAGTAGTCCTATATAACCCCATAGTAATGGAGGTACCCTCTTTCTAACAAAAAAGAATCATCAAAATCGGTTCACAAATACCGGAGTTATCGCGTAACACGCATACAAAAAAAACATACAATAATTAGTAGTAGAACCTCCTCCTTTTTCTTAAAGTCGGTTAAAAAGACACTTTAGCTCGCCGTTGCCCGCTTATTGTGTTTGGTCTCTGTGCCCTGGGTGGCTGGAAGAGTTCTTTTTTAGAGTTTTGTAGAAATATTATTTCTTTTGTTTTTATTTTGTAGAATAAAGTTGTACCTTTCTAGCTTCATCAAAACACAGAATATGGTTTTCTATATACAGTCGCAAATGTAATCGCTCCGTAGAAAGAAAAGTTACCATATTCCCATAGCTATTCAAAGGGATAACAAAGCTATCATTTTGCAGGTTCTGTCGTGGGAAATTAATCCAGCAGTTGTGGTTAAAATACTGACAACATTATCTCTTGGTATGGCTATCTAATACGATAACTTCTCATCTCTGAAAGTATGAGAGTTAACAGTTACATCATAAAAATTAGACAACTTCTTATACAGAAAACGAAACGTATGTAAGAATGTTTCGTTAGATTTTAAGTAATAAAATGAAAACATTCTATTGGATTTGTTTTACTTGATCATGTAATATAATACAGGACATACAGCCACTTAACCTCAGTGAACTTTATTTACTGTGTAATTAAATAAAGTTTATATTAATAAACTTTTACAATAAAAAGTCCAAACAACCGAGCTCGAAAAATACGTGTACGCCGTGTGTTTTCTACCTTTTTTTTCCCTCTAGCTCACTGTTCAAGCTCAGGCGGTAATAACAAAATGGTTATAGGTCTCTTTTATAAATAATAAATTTTCAAAATTTCAATATCAATCAATAATCAATGATTTAAATTTTCACAACTGACAAATCAAATGAGTTGTACATTTTAAATTATTACAATAACTAACAAAACTACAATAGGTTCCAATACATATTGTAACGGGACGAACAAGCTGAGCCGCTGGTGCTACTCAAACCATATGAGGGGCACTGACACTGTACCTGTCGCACTGACACATAAAGTTGACAAATCCGTGTGCACTAGCACTCTTACGGTGGCAAGTACTTCCCAGGACGAACTCTTCCACAAGGAGTTCTATTGCTGCCAACATTCTCGATACATGAGTATTCCATAGCCATATACATATAAGATCATTGACTTTTGACGTATGATCAATATAACGTTGGTCAAAATAACGAAGAACGAAAGAGAACAATTCGATCCAAAGAATTATTACGTCGTACGCACTTGAATCGATTTTCGTATAATCTCAGTACAGAGACAGAGTACTAAAAAAACCGACCTCAATGTTATCCCCTAGTTTGCCACCCTTAGAGGTAGAATATTTTCTTTAGGTTCTGAGTTTTCTTTCCAACGAAAGAAAAAAGAATCATCAAGATCGGTTTACAAATGCCAGAGTTATCGTGTAACATAAATAAAATAAACAAAAAACGTACAGTCAAATAGAGAACCTCCTCCTTTTATTAAGTCGGTTAAAAAAATTAAATCAAATAAACAATAAATCGCAAAAATATGTGCAAATATAAATTATTTGTTCCGTTATTCTTTAGTGTTGAATAAAAATAATTTCACCACGTACATTTCTCGCTCTATATGGTGAGAACAAACGATAGTTATGAAATATGCAAATATTTCTTATTCCTCATCACTGAAATCAAACGCATCCAAGGAAATTATCATAGTAGGTAGCTAAGAACGGTACTTTTATGATTCTACTTTCAAATAGAAATTGAATATTTAAACAATGAACCCAAATTGTTTTAAATACTTCATTCAATGTGTACGATTTTACTGCTTCTTTATAAGAATACTTTATTTGGAGAGTACAAGATTGTTTCCTGGAGCTGTGAAGTTGATAGTCCAAACCTAACATGTTTCACGAATTATGTGGCCCAGTGAAATATTTTTTAAGATACAAAGTGATGGGAAGATCAAGTTGTGCGCTTGGTGGTAAGGGACACGCCTGTCCTTAACAGTTGCAGAGCCGTTCCGAGTTTTGAATCGCAAAGATCTGAAGGGTAATGCCACTGCGCTTATCACTCTGAGACATAAGTTGAAAATTCCAATGTACCTGCAATTTCACCTGCACCCTTCGACTTCAAAACCGAAACGCAGTAATGCTAAAAATTAAAAAAAAAAGAATCCCGTCGTTTGATACTCTTAGTACAGGGAATTCCCTAGTTTGAGACCAAAAAATTGGTGTAATTATCTGGCACTATTACTATTATTATTCGTTATCTGTAAGTACATTTTTTATCTTAATTATGAAATTATATTTTAATTTATATCATAATATTATAATATTATTATGAGATAAATTTTGTAAAATGTTTTCAGGTTTTATTTTATTCAATGAAATAATGAGGATCTTTATCTTGTAAAGAAGGTTTTCCTCCTCTTTTGTTAAAAGCCGCAATTTTGTAACTGTTAAAAATGAATTGATTATAATGACCACAAAAAATTAAGTATAACGAAATGGAAACTTAAAAAAGTGCATATAGTTCGTTGAACATAATTTATTTATAATCGCTTGTTCATTTACACATAGCAGTGGACGTACTTATTATAAACTTAATTCATAAATTAAATTAGTGCATGCTTATTCGTGGTATCACAGTCCATATCGTGAGGTCGTTGTTTTCCAGTTTTGTTGTGTCAGTTTCGTTGTATTCACTCTGTGACATTCGCTAATAAAGCTGTTTTTTATATCCTATATCCATTTTGACATAAAATATCGTTACGCAGTATTCGAAGGTCAATTGCAATTAGGTAGTTTGCTTGCTGTTAAATTTTTGGAAGTTTACTCATGAGATCAGTAGTGGTAACCACCGGTACCGCTGGATCCCGAACCCGGGTTATATGCTCCTTCCCTATAAAAAGATACAAAGTATTGTAAGAAATGAGTATAAATTTGTACAGTATCACACGGGTCATTTCTCAGTAGAAACAACTGCAAGCAATTCGAATCTTCGCGAATAAAAAATATTTATCGAATTCTTAGGTTTCACGATTGCTACATATAGAAAATATTTGTTTTTTCAAACAAACCAACGATTCAGGCCCTTTACAGACACCATGGTCACTGCTGACTGGTGGTTTGTTTGAAAAAACCAATCCGAAAAAAATATTTAGTTTTTTTTTTAGAATTTTATGTGTAAAAGTGTTCGATACAGGGCGAATATTGTTTGAAAATGTATTTTCTCCAAAAACACCACCTAATACTAATAGAGTAGTTACTAAGAACAACTGTACATTTTTTTGCACTTACGAATTGGGGTTTTGGCGGTTAAATTCAATAGACCGCAAGATCTCTGCAGGTATTGGTGGCGGAGTGGGGAGGTGGGCGCCGACTGGATGGAAGCCGTTTTCATCAGCGGTGTAAGTCAGGGAGATACGTTGACCATCGGGAGCGTTGTACGAGAAGCCACCCTCAGCTGTCACTGCAGGGCCTTCGGGACCAGGAGCACGAGGAGAACCGCTCTCGTGTGCGGAGATGCCGTTGCCCGTTTCGAAGCTGAAATTATACGAAAGCTGAATTGAGATGCTGCTTGTGGCTAACGTGGATTTGTTTTCAATGATAGAAAGAATATTCGAAGCTGTATAAATCTTATTTAGTGAAGTAGCGATCTTTTAGCTTTGTCTACTTATCTAGAAAGTAATTTCACCACATTCACACACACATATTACCTGTAACGGTAAGATCCATCTCCGTTGTTAACGTTTTCATATTTTGTAATAGGAATGTTGGCACCGCCGCCGCTGTAAGATCCTACTGAACTACGAAATCCTCCAGACCCTGCTCCACTAAATGCTCCTCCTCCGCTCGTCCCCACTCCGCTACCTCCAGGTCGAGGAGGAAGATATTGAGGTTCCAGTCGTCCACATGAACCAATGGCAACGAGAGCCGATATCAAAGTTAACTGTAACAAAAGCGGGTTATATGCAAATTTTGTGTAACGCGTGGGTCTTAGAAAATAAGATACAATCTTATTTTCAATGGAGCGAATTCGAATTAAAAGATTTCGCGAACGTTTAAGATTTTCTTTGAACACAGCTGTAAGCGCAAAGTATCCGCCAAAAGTTTTATGGACCGCAGAGTTGAGGGTTGAAAATCCACTTACCGATATAGTAAACATTGTTACAATTTTTGATTGTCCTGTCAGTGGGATATTCAAATGTTTTCTGAATAAAATTGGATGACGTTCGCGTTTTATATTGCTCCGATTTGCCCTTTCTAGGTTGCTTCACCTTGTGCGTGCTCTACGGATATCGGAGGATCGGCCACTGCACCCGACGACGCCTCGAGCATAGAACAAGAAGCAACTTAAGCATTGCCTTACTTAGAAACTAATGCTTCTAAGAATTCAAGAAATTTAGTAATTTAATTGTAACCAAATGGGTCACCGAGTTTAAAGGTTAACTAAGCAGGGAAATGAAAAACTTGAAAAAGAGTTAATGATAGATTATTTATGCAAATTACTTAAATATTACATACTGTTTTTCTGTTAGCAAATTCAACACATGTAAGCAGAGCTTACACACCCACTCACAAACACACACATACGCAATTCATACATGCTCACACATTTACACATACGAAACACACACACACACATACACACACACACGCACACGCACGCCCACACACGCACACGCACACGCACGCACACACACACACACACACGCACACACACACAGACACACACACACACACACACACACACACACACATGTGCATACTGTACTTGCAAGTAAAATTTGTTAGGTATGTTATACTTATTTATTGTAATTTTGTTGATTTAATGTATTACTAAATTGTTTTCCGTAACTTTGGCATAATTTATCAGAAATTTTATGTAACTTTAAATGAATTGTTTAAATGACAAACTTTGTAAATGGCTAAGTAAGTTTGTGATTTAAGAATATAAATAGAAAAAAAATCCAAAGTTTGTAAATAAATAAAATGTATTGTGTGTATACAGTTCGCATTACTACGAACCTTAGTGGTTTAAAATGCGAATAGAAACATTGCTGGGTAGGTTTTAAATGATAAATACATAAAAAAAAATACAGGGTTAGTATTCCCGGAAATGCTTCAAGGCGCTTATAAGGTCATTCATAAGAGTACCGAAACATGGTTAAGTTCCCTTAGGTCTTTGTGCAGTGAAATCGCATACAATGCATTGCAAATCGTACAGCCGATTTACGTATGGACAAACTGCCACGTGGAAATTTAGGAATTACAACAATTGTGCAGAATTTACGAAATTAGTATTGAATTACGTGAATGATATCGCATTCGACAATATTGAAGATTTCTTATAAAATTTACATTTCATATATTCTATTTTTTTTAATTTAAATAGTTTGACAAACTTATTAAATCTACAATTGTTATATTCTATTATTGACATTATGTTCTATTAGTATTAGGTTGTGATTAATCGGATCGCATGATTATAGTGTATTGCGAATTATTGAATGAAAATTACGTAAAAATTATGAAAGCTTTATATGCCACAAGGCGGTTTTAGTAGCAGCAGAGTTTCTTGTGAAAGAGTTAGTCCAGGGAAGTCCGTCATGTTACCTATTTCGGCCACCAAGCTGCAATGTAAGCACTACTGCGTCGTAGTTTTGAAGGGTAAGGAAGGCGACATTACAGGCACATGGGACTTGTCAACTTATGTCTAAGGGTGATGGACGCAGTGGCAGTGTGAGATCTGTGGTCTTTGTGATTTAAAGCTCTGAGTGTCCCTTACCACCAGGGGCACGACTTGTTCGCCTCGTCACTGGTTATCAAAAAAAGGCGGATCACAGTGTTTCAAAATTCATTATTGTTACGCCCTTGTAACCCGTGTATTACAAAGAAATAAATGTTTGGATTTGATTTGACAAACATATAAGTAACCTTACCAGGAGTCGTAAGATACAGAATTTTCCTGGTTCAGGCTCCTGTCTCTCACAAAGATTAATACGTAAGCAGAGAACAAAAAGTAAAGAGAACGGACACTCTCCGGCCCTCTCTAGCTTTATATGTATACTGCACCACGCCCCGCACATAGCCGGTCACATTGACTGAACGACAACAAGCCTGCCGGCGAGCCGTTTTCTCGCGAAGACGGCTTTGATATTTGAATATAGTTTTCATTTCGAAACTTGTACGTTAATATAAAACATCATTTTACGTTACTATTTATGATGATCGTGAATTGTGCTGTGTACGGTTGTTTATCATCATTTTCCGAAAGATGAAACGAAATAAGTAAAAAAACTTGTCTGAGACTCATTCAGTTATTGTTTTCTTCATTTATTTACTGCAGAGTAATATATGTATGTATAAAAATACTTATTTATTATATATTATAATGAGGAGTCATGACTTCGTGAGCTAGTAGACAAGGGTTCTCGAATTTTCAATTCATATGGCCGATAAATATTACGTAAGTAGCGAATATACCTAATTAATGATGATCAACTTGGATACACAATTTCAAATACCTTTTTTTATGTTATTTAAAAGTACATGTCCAAAATATAACAACTAGATAATAACTAAAACAAAATATAATAACTAGTTAGTGAATTAATGAAAAATATGACATTATATCGATATAAATACATAATAAACATGTGTAATTATTAGGATTCTGGATTCTATTAACAGAATCATAGATAATAGATTCGCGTTAGAATTTTCCCTATGCTGCCGCTCTGATCACGTAACGTAATAGTGCAAGAAAGTGATGGGTAACCCTGCCACTTCACGCACACATTTGCGCGTGTGCAGATAGCGCCTTGCTGTATGTAGTAGTAGTAGGTAAATAATTATCGACTGTTGTATGGAGCGTCCGGGGTGTGACGTAAGCTCTATTCCACTACATTTAATAATCTATTCTAGGAGAAATATTATTAGGTATATACAGAAATTATTATTATTATAGGCCTCATATTAATAAAGTGATGTATGATGTGCTAGACAATCACACTAATTACCTGGTCCCTGAGTTTTTACATGAATTAATGTTTTAAATTTCCTTATTATTTGTTACCTTTTTAAGCTGATGGCTCTATAGCCAATGCTCTATAAATAAAAAGAATAAAAAAGTTGTATTAGCACATTGTCCAATGTAAAGGGAAACGTCTTGTGAAACCAGTATTAATGGTAATTAAATTCTTTGTTGATCTTTCGTAGGTCCTAATTGAATTTCTATCAGGTGACAATTCGAGCGCTTGCCGGTTTTGCACTCCATTAAAAATATACCGAGTACTTAAAATTTTAAAATTGTATACAGGTAATTCTTTCCCGTTATGTAAGTGTGCAGTGCAATAACGCACACACACTCAACATACAATTTGTTACGTGTATAGGAAACACAATATAAGTAGTTATGAGTACTTGCTGTTGGTACGGTACGAAAACATGTTAATAAGACCATACTTATTTGATAACATTTTGACAATAGTAGCTCCACTGGATAGCAAGTTTGTATATAAGTGTTATGCTAAAAATAGTCCAAGTAAATCTTATGAAAAAACCATCGCACTGAATGGAATACACTAAAAGAAATGTCACTTTGCGAAGTGAAAGCTTATTTGCATTTGAACCGCATGTGAGATTTCGCGATTGGGTATTTGCGGTGGCAGGAGGATATCCGATAATGCTCCATGGCCGATATTTGACATTGCCGAAACGCGACACGTTTTGCGCAGGTTGTTCTACGTTTCTAAATACCGAATCTTGTTAACAATTTTTTCAATTTTAAATAGAGTGACATGCAGTATTACATTTTAGAGGACAAAGTTAAACTTGAAACGCTTATTCGAATCACGGATGCAATCTTTTAGTTATGCAGTTTTAGTAGCAGTAGAGCTTCATGTGATAGAGTTCGACCAGTGAAGTACTGCCACCTTACCTATTTTTGCCGACAAATGGTAAAATTAAGTCCCATGTGCCTGTAATTGGTGAAATTATAGGCACAAGTGACTTTTCAACTTATGTCTCAGGGTAACGAGCGCAGTGACAGTGCCTCTCAGATCTTTGAGATTTAAAGCTCTGAGTTGGACTGCAATTGTTATAGACAGGCGTGTCGCTCACCA